AGAAATAGCTCCAAAATCATTACTAGATGCCGAGCAAGCAGCAATTAGACTTGAAGCATTTCGCCTCGCTGACAGACAAAGACACAAATTAGTAGCAACTGTCACCGAGAATGTACCAATTCAAAATAATAGTGACAAGAAACTTGAAAATATCTGCAAATCCCTAGATAATTTATCCAAAGATGTAGCAGACATTAAAACAAGACAGAAATACTTATTCAAGAAATAGACAGCCTTATAAACCTAATAATTTTCAGTCCAGGCAAAATCACACAAAATTTAGACAATTTGATAAACAATAACCATTCTCAAAGAGAGCATGAGCAAAGTTTCTCGGGAAACGCCAGCAGGTCGACCTGGAGGCCGACAGGTCGATTCTTTCAACCGGGCCGTCAAACAAAATATTAACTACCAATATTGACCAAGGTTGTTTCATAAATTGTAGATTTCAAAACAGAAAACTTACTACACTTTTAGATACTGGTTCCAATATCAGTATATTAAAGAGATCTGAATACGAGTTGTTGCCAATTGAGTCAAGACCCATACTTCAACCTGTAAACACACAAATGGTCACAGTTACTGGTGAAACCTCACCACTTCATGGTAAAACAGAAATTACAATAGATATTGGTGGTAATATCTTTAAACATGATATCCTTATAGCTGATATTAAGAATGAAGCAATTCTTGGAGAGAGATTTCCTATTTAAAAATGGATGTGACATTTTACTGAGTCAAATGAAACTTACAATAAAAGGACAAAAGATAGACTGTTTTATACATGAGGGTTTCTTCAAAACCAATGTGTGCTAGAATAGCTACAACAAAGTATATAGAAATTCCACCACAGACTGAAATCATTGTTAGTGCTAAACCAATTGACCCTTTTGACAGATACCAAACCTCATTTATAGAAGGTAAATTAGACTTTATAGACCGTAGTGGAATACTTGTAGGAAAAGTACTTGTAAATCCAATAGATGGTTGTGTACCAGTGAGACTTGCAAATGTTAATAATGAAAAACTTTCAATAAACAAACATACTGTTATTGGCAACATGATACCTACTGACTTATTCCCAACTTCAAACACTGAACAGTCAAACTCTGTAGAGACAAGTGACCAAAGTGATGTTATCCCTCCTCATTTGAGTGATGTTTTTGAGCGTTGCTCCACTGAAATGACAGAAATGCAAAAACACAAGTTTAAAAACCTAATGATAAAGAATCAAGATGTGTTTTGTAAAACACCTACAGATATTGGGTTCACCACCTTGACACAATATACCATTGACACTGGAGACAGTCAACCAGTCCGTACCCCACCTTATCGTTTACCAATAGAAAAACGAAAAATAGCAGAACAAGAAATCAATAAATTATTAGAACAAGATATAATAGAGCCTTGCACTTCTCCTTGGTTATCACCCTTAATACTCGTTCCAAAACCAGATGGGAGCACCAGAGTTGTAGTTGATTACAGGAAAATTAATGCTAAAATACAATATGACAGCCACCCTCTACCCAGAATAGATACATGTTTAGAAGCTTTAGCAAATAATAAGTATTTCAGTTCCTTAGATATGAAACAAGCTTTTCATCAAATTGGTATAGCAGAAAAAGACAAACCAAAAACCGCCTTTTCGTTTGGTTCAAATACATATATGTATAAAAGAATGCCTTTTGGTTTAAGTACTTGTCCAGCTGTATTTGAGAGACTCATGGAAAAAGTATTAGCTGGCCTAGCATACAATATATGTCTTATTTATCTTGATGATTTACTTTGTTACAGCAAGACCTTTGATGATCATTTAAAACACCTAGACGAGATGTTCCAGCGAATAAGAAGTGCTAACCTAAAGCTTAGTCCCCGTAAATGCAATTTCTTCCAGAAATCTGTATCATTTTTAGGTCACCGATTGACTGAAGAAGGTATTGAACCATGCCCTGAGAAAGTAAAAGCAGTGACTGAGTGGCCTGTGCCATGTAACACAAAACAAGTTCGTTCTATTGTAGGTTTAGCTTCATTTTATAGAAAAATGATCCCTGGTTTTGCTGAAGTAGCTAAACCACTTCATAGACTTACAGAGAAAGGTAGACAGTTTTATTGGGATAATGAATGCCAAAATTCTTTTCAGAAACTGAAAGAACTCCTGAGTAGTGCTCCAGTTTTAGCTTATCCAATACAGGGACAACCATATACTATAGAGTGTGATGCGAAGTAAATTTTCAATAGGTTCGGTTTTGAACCAAATACAAGATGGAAAATTAAAAGTTATAGCTTATTTTTCTAGGTGTCTTACCAAAAACAGAGAGAAATTATTGTGTCACTAGAAGAGAATTACTTAGTGTTGTTTTTGTTCTATTAAACATTTCCATCATTTTGTTTTTGGTACACATTTTGATGTTATAACAGACCATGGAAGCCTTAAATGGCTTATGAATTTCAACAAAAATTGTGAAGGTCAACTTGCCAGATGGTTAGAGATTTTAGGGCAATATGGACTTCACGATTCATTACAGACCAGGCAGAGTTTCACTAAATAGTGATGCTCTAAGCCGTAGACCATGTACTGACGACCCATGTAAATATTGTACACGTGCTGAAGAAATTTACTTAGATAGTTGTGAAAATGTTATGACCACTAGTTTAGATACAAACTATAAAAACAATGTAAACACAACCACTGGTTTAAATCTGGAATGTACTGCCAGTGAACCAAACCCGTTACCAGGTTGCAGTACTGATGAAATTACTATAAATAGCCTACAAAAACATTTCAGCATTGCAAGACAGTGACCCTAAATTATCAGTGGTAAAACAATGGATAAAAATCCAGCAAAAACCCACTTGGCAAGAAATATCTCATTATGACCACGAGATAAAGTATTATTGGCAAATATTTGACAGACTTAAACTTGTTGACAGTGAACTGTGCATCACAGAAAACCAGAAGCTATTAAAAGCTAACGATATTGTTAGAATAGCCCCTGACAAACTTAAAAAGCTCATATTTCATCAGTTACACAGCAGTGTGACTGCTGGTCATTTAGGTGTTAGAAAAACTACCCAGAAAATACTCCAAAGATTTTACTGGTTTAAATTAAGACAAGACATAGAATACTGGTGTAAGATTTGTGACCAGTGTGCTAGACGTAAAAATCCGCCTAGACATGCAAAAGCCCCAATGAAGAAATATAATGTAGGAATGCCTATGGAAAGAATAGCAATTGATATTCAAGGACCTTACCCAAAATCTAAACGTGGTTTCAAATATATCCTTGTAGTAGGAGACTATTTTACCAAATGGATCGATGCCATACCCCTCAAAAATATTAAGTCAGAATACGTAGCTTCAAAGTTAGTAAACAAATTTATTTCAATATTTGGCGTACCCTTAGAGTTACATAGTGATCAAGGGACCACATTTGAATCCAAGATTTTTCAAGAAACATGTAAAATATTAGGTATACACAAGACACGAACAACTGCCGCCCGACCTATATCTGATGGCATGATAGAACGCGCCAATCGCACCATAGAAAATATGTTAGCCGCTTATGTTAGTGAGAATCAACTTGACTGGTGTTCACACTTACCTTTACTAATGTTAGCATATAGATCAAGTGTCCACGAAAGTACAGGTGTTTCCCCTTGTGCCATGATGTTTGGCCGACAAGTTAATCTCCCCATAGACCTTGTAATGGGCAGACCTGTAGAGAATAAAAGAGAACAAACTATAGACTATGTTTATGAATTAGAAAACAAGTTATCTGAAATACACAAATTATGCACGGTCAAGACTTGATATCTCAAGTTTTCAAATGAAGAAAACATATGACAGAATTACATATTATCACCCATATGAAGAAGGTGATATAGTCTGGTACCATGATCCCAGACGTACAAAAGGTAAAAGTCCAAAATTACAGAGGCCATGGACTGGACCTATGGTTATTGTGAAGAAAATAAATGACTGCCTATTCAAAATACAAAAGACAACCTCGGACACCTGCAAAGGTAGTCCACCATGACCGACTTAAACCATATAATGGAGATGACAAGCCAACCTGGTTCACACAAAACTTATAATTGTTCAAATATATACGTTTATAATTTCCGGTATTTACTTCTTATATTGTTCAAAACTGATTTATTCCAGAACAAATATACTGAACCTGCTGATACCTACAATACCTAATTATCACCACTTCCTTATCACAGGCAAAACAAGTCTTCTAGGAAATCCTGTAACAAGAATAAATTTAGAAAGTTAATAATTTTCTTACAGCTACCAAGTACCAACAGATTTAGACATATAAATACAAAAATTTGATACAAATAACAATGTTGACATATCAGTAAAAATGTATACCTTGTTGTTTCAGTCTACATCCAAATGGGCCTGCAAAATTGTGCACCGATCCACCACGGTTATTCAGATACAGTTCAGACTGCAGGAGACATCTGGTGAGCTACCATTTTGGTTTCTCCTTTAAATGTAGCTGTTGTGGCAAAACGATGCCCAGGAAGCCAGAAAAGGGGCAACACACATGTGGAGTTCCGGATCCCTCATTTTACCTTCTACACAGGGAGTCAGGTGTATTTGGCCATGATGCTGTGGTAAAACAACAGAACATGTGTCAACAGATCCGAGAGGCCATGGAGGAACAAAACAACAACAACCTTGAAAGTAATCAAACAAAATTAAGCAAACATTCTGTATCTACATATAAAGTGCTAAATCCAAAGAAATTCATCTCTCATACACCTGCTTCAAAACCTGCAACAGTAACATCTGAAACCATAGAAGAAAACACAACTTATACTACTCCAGCTCCTAAACCCATTGTGGAAACTAAAACAAACAGAAAACATTAATAAAGAAAACAACTCTGAGACTGATAACACGTTACCTTTAACTTTCTGGGAGACACTTGACATAACCAACGATGATATGGAGGGAAGAATTTCACCTTTCTCTGTAGAAACTCATGATGAATTCATTGAAAGTCTTCTTAACACTCCGAAATCAACTGAACAACTTCCTCAACCAAAAATCACCTGAAAAAGAACAACTTCCCGTACATATTTCTGATGCAATTGACCAGATGAGACCAAAAATAACTATGTTACAACATTGGCAGAACGACAAAATCACATTATGTGTAGGTGGTAAATGTTTCGATACAACCAAATCCACTTTGATGAAGGAACCAACTTCCCTTATATCTATACCATGCGGATTGTACTCCATTTACCAAGATTCCAAGGTGATCATTGACAGGGACCCTTCACACTTCAAGTTCATATTAAATTACTTACGATATGATTGTAGGATGCCAATTGGATGCTTACCCAATGATAAACAAGTACTTCATGAATTAAAGGAAGAGGCAGAATTTTACATTTTACCAAAACTAGTCAAAGCAATTGATGAAAAACTTACCTCATTAAAGAAGTAAATTGTAACTTAACTTAAGTGAGTTGTGACTTGAGATAAAGTAAATACATACATGTATACTCTGTTGTTATAACAGAAGTAGTGAAAATGAATTATAGAAATTTTATACTTATTACTTAATTGTTAAAATGACTATATATATAGAGAGAGAAATATATACAGGTATACTGTAATACTATGTAAAAAAAAAAAAAAAAAAAAAAATGAATGAATTATTAAACTAGAACTGTTATAAGAATCACATATGCTATTGCTTATTTATTGTAGTCCTACAGGTTACCATAATGATATCTTATTAAAAAGAACCAGAGAACCAGGCCGGTTTTAACTCCTATGTTATCAGTAATAAATAGAACCACTATAGATAACTGAATAAAAACTGATGTGTAGTTTACCAAGAAACCACTTAATGAAAAAGAACCAAAGACAATTAGTCTTGTATCTAACAAATGACATATTAAATTGTCATTAGAATTATATCGGACCACGTAATAAACTGTTTTATCACAAAAAGTGATAATAAATAGAAACATGGCATGCCAAAAATACCGCTACTTGTTGCGTATCAACCCTTTACATTGAGAAACAACAAGATGACCCCCCTTTCCCTTCCCTACTGAGTTATACAGTTAGGTGTTTTTACTTCCCCGTCCCTGTGCACATCAGGGTGTGGACATAATCCCATGGCTAAAATGCCTTGACTTTATTCCCATGGCAAGTGATTCAATTGCCTTGACTTTACTTGGAGGTATAAGACAAATCCCTAAGGAAAAGAAAAACAAAATAGTTAAAAGTAACCATCTAGAAATTGGAAAAATGTGTTTAAAAAGAAAGACAAATATGTTTAGAAGAAGACGGTCCTAGGGTAAAACTTTATTATTTATAGTTTTTAAAGGATTATAATATCCTATAGAGTGAGCAAAGCTCTCACCATATATAGTGGGTATACTTTAGGGGGGATACCCGTAAATGATGATCATCCTATTATAACTAACTGTGTTATACACATAGTGTGCCAGATAAACAATACCAGTTTATCTGAATTGAATCATTATGACTTAAGAATGTGCAGCATTTTGACACTGCCATTGATAGTTTTGCGGGCCGAGATATTAAATAAAAAAATAATTTGAGAAATTACCTTTGACTAGAGATTGTTGGACTCTATGAAAACCTCCGAGTAACCAGCAAATACTTAACACCATAATTACCTCTATGTCCTACAAACTAAGAAAATACAAAATGTACATTATTAAGTACATGAATGTAGTCCTAGCTAGGCAAAGTAATGAATGTGAGGATACTTGAATTAATGAAAATATCCCATAGCTGTATAAATCCCCGAATGACTGAATAAAGAAGAGTAATGTGAGATTTTGTAAACATTTCTAAAATATGTAAATCACATCTAAATCTATTAATCTATTTATTGAATTGACAAATTAATATTACTTTGTAAGTAAATTTAATACTAATACCGAGTTTTAATATATAAGTTCCATAAAAGTTTAGAAAATGTTGTTTATTTTTAAGTTTATATTAGATTTTTCAAATTGATTTAATAAAGACCTTGTTAAATTCCATTGTGTTACAAGTTAAAGAGTCCAAGGGAATTACCTCGTGATTTTCTTAATATAGGAAAAATTGTCGGAATTACCTCCCCTGAATAGACAGGTACATGAGCGTACGTGCGTGCGTTTTAAATTAGAGACTGATTATGTTAATTACAGTAACATTATAACAATGAGCCCACCTCACATATTAATTTTGATATTTACCTCAAGGGCCCATTCAGGGGCTGAAATCCATCTGGTTGGGTGGTGAAGTAAAAGAACCAAAATACCTAGTCATTGATAAATTTTTGGATAAGATGTTTTATCCCACTAAATACAAAAAACTTAAAAAACATCCGAGATTTTTTCCCGGTCCCGAATAAAAGACAACCAAGATTTCCCCTTTTTTGAAACAATTTCCTTTTTTCATATTAAAAATTAAAATTTTAACTTTTTTAGTCCAAATTCAAAATTTTAAAAATTTTCCATAAAAAAAACGGGAAAAAACAAAGTTTAATTTAAATTTTTCAAAATTTGTTTCCCCCCGGGTCCAGCCATTCCGAAAACTAACGGACTTTAAACCCTTTGCGGGATGTTAAGTTTACCGTTCCGAATTTTAAAAGGGGAACATTATGGTTAAAAATTTTTTTTCCCAAACCCCAAACCGGCGGGGTAAAAATTTTGGCCCCTGAGGGCCCTCGGCTATAAAAGGTAGGAAAGGGCCCGAACCCCCGATACTTAAAAAAATACTCCCGGCGCATGCAAACCCGGGGTCAGGCCCTGGATAGAACTTAAATAGTAATAGGGAACCCGGAAAAATTTCAAAATAGGGGAAAATGCCGCAACTTTCCCTTTTTTTAACGGTAATATAATTTTAAAATTTTTTTGGCCAGTTTAAACCAAAAATTTTTAACACAAACCCCAAATTTTAAAAAATTTGAAATTACCAAAAACCAGGGTTCCATGGTTTTTTTTTTATTTATAGATTTTCCTCCTGGAATTCCAGCTACCATGGAACTACTGTATAAAAAAACCCCTTTTAAAAGTAATGTATTTATAATGAAAACCCAAATAAAAATAACAGTTTTATTAAAAAACCAAATTTGAAAAACCCCATATAACTTGGTGGGCATACTTAGCTAACAATCTATAATTGAATAGCTATTCTTTGGTTAGCCAAGCCTTAAAGCACGAAAGGAATCACAACCACCTTCCAACCGTGGTCCATCGACGAAGAAGGATTTCTTCCAGAATAATATCGAATTTAACTGGTAAATTTGGATATGAAATCAAAAAAAATTAATTTGGTGTATCATTTTCAGGCTTTTGTGTTTCTGTTTTTTTTCCCTTGTAAGGTTCAATTTTTTAATACCCTCATCGATGCCTTCGAGAAGAACCTCAACGTCCTGGATATTGTTGCGGGTTTTGGGAAGCAGACAACCCCGACGCCGTTTCCCAAATGCTATGAATTCTTCATTTGGGAACACGTCCTTTTTTTGGCTTTAAACGTTTGGTAGAAAAACTGCTCGTCTTTTCGGGTGATATGTTATGCGTTTTGAGCAACAAAGTTCAGAAAACATTTTGAAAGAAATTTGTCTCCATTTCAAGTCTATCACTTCGCACCAAAATTTTTGAAAAACACAAGGAGAAACCATCTCAATTAAAATTTGCAGTATGTTGGATATTTGTTTCATCCCATTGTTTATAAATTCGGCTCTTTGGGAGATTGCTTTTGTTTTGTAAAAATAAAATGTCTTCCACAGTCTATCCATCTTTTGTTTGATATGTTTTAATTGCTTATCCGCTCCAGCTCACTACGTGAAGCTTTATAATTTTCAACCTGTAATAAAAAACCAATAATGATGAACAACCATGAAACAAAGTCCTGATATGACCCCCTGCCTACAAGCTACATACAAAAAAACACCTTCAAGCATCCAAGCAGGGGCAACGAACCAAAATATCTAGGATAGTTCTATGTGTTTTTGTCCCAAAACGAAATATAGTTGGTTAGATACTTTTTTACAAGATACTTTACATTATCAACATTTAATTTAGTGGTGATGACTTTTTGCTGACAAGTATTCAAATGTTTCAATATGACGTTAACATTAAATAAAAAGAAAATTTCGTTTGTTTGTATGTATTATTTCATATGCTTTGTAAAACTCTCAATGAGACCGAAGTCTTTGTCTATATATTATGTACTCAAGTTTGTATTGACATAAGGCTTATTCTTTTATAAACAATACATTAATCTATTGATTCCTGTATAGTTTATTTTGATACTCTAATAAAGTTTTAAAAAGTATTTTTCACTTACGCAAAACATTTTAATGTCATCCAATGACAGTATTATCCATCTGATTCTGAAATCATCTAAATAAAAACCATTTACCCCACTTTTCAATAAGGAAATCATTCGCCTGAAGAAAATGAATTAATTTTGAAGATCGCATGATTTTACATTTTTAAGCATAAGTAACAAATTTGATATCAAATTCAATAGCATTCATATTTGTTCATAATTTGCAATGTATCAAAGAGATCAATAGTAACACAGTTGGTATCGAATTCAGTTTCAGTAGCACTGATGTTTGTCACTAGTTTATTATTGTATTTTATTTATTTTTTAAGTGCAAATTTCGTTTTTCAAATGAAGAAAATAAATAGATATGGCACTGGGTTTTTAGGTTTATGGCATACACAAAAGTGAAGGTACGCGTTCGAAGTCAACATAATCAAAACATTTGAATCCCTTTTCGAAAGCACAATATCCCTTTACAGCGCCATAAATTTAACATATAATGCGTCAGTTTTTAAAGTAAGCAATTTACCATCCTGTTGCTATATCATGTTAATTAAGTTAGCGTTGTACCAATTTAAAATACCAGTGTATATATATGCATAATATTTGTTTTAATTACCTTGCTTGATTCTTGCTCGATAGGGCAAACAACAACAAGCTACAAAAAGGAAAAATCGCAAGTAAAACATTAACTAAAATACTACAGCATCTTAAAAATTGAAATTTTCCGTTTATATAATGCTAAAGTTAAAAAGGACTGTTATCATTGCCTATAAATCTGTAGCCAAATACACAAAAAGTAATATAATCATACTTTGCGCCATCTCTGATAACAGAAGGTAATAAGTAATTGTGATAATTTAAAGTAAAACAAGATTATACTTTTAATAACAGAGAAATAAATAAGAAATTGATGATTAAAGTTAAAGAAAGAAAATACTGCGTGAATATCTCCAATATAATAGTAAACTAATAAAATTAATTTGTAAACAAGAGTTTTGTCATTAAAAAAACATATTAAATGTTTAAGGATAAAACTATTTCAAACCTCCTTTTTAAATGACGTAGTAACCTTAAGGGCACTTCAACTGAACGATTACTAGGATTCTATTTGGGTTTATTGATCACAATAAACTTACCTTTTGTTACTAACAAAAGCATATAACCAAAAAGAAACCGTCCCAAAGCACAGCTTCTGCATTGAATCGTTGATTGTGTTCTAAACACGTGGTTAATCTATAATTGTTGGCCCGTTATATATACGATCGAAATAGTACTAATGATGAAAATAACCACATTCTGCCCTTTTAAAAGCTGCCTTTTAGTTTAAAAAGGCTCCATAACGCATGTCAACCAAAAGTATAGGGAATATCATATTTTATTGCCAATATACAATCTTTAAGTTTTTTAAAATGGTATTAATATAGACTTTTCGCTATGTTTTTTTTTTCATTGTTTTCTTTTCTTTCCGTCTTGTTCCTATTGTTACATTTTAATAACTTTTTGTTACTGTTTTTAATTATTTGCAGGGATACAATTATTGTAAAAATTTTTTTTTAAAAATTTAAATTGGCCCTTTCGTTGCAAAACCAAAAAATGGCCATTCTAATTTTTTTATGCATCATTTATAAGGTTTTGGGAAAAAAATTTGCAAAACCCAAATTTTTAAATATTTTTAAAAGGGAAATTTTGCACATTTTCCCCGGGTCAATTAAAAACTAAAAAAAGGTTTTTTTTTACCAAAATACTAACGGAAAATAGGTTATTTTCCAAAACCGTTTTTTTTCCTGTTTTCTTTTTAAATGGGTTACATTTTGGCGCGGTATAAACCAGTAACGTTTTAAAATTTTGGCTTAAGCCCAAAAAAAACAAAAAACCCCCTTGCTGTTTATAAGAATAAAATATGAAGTTTTTCCCTTTCTTAAATGAAATCAAAATATTCGGTTTTTGTTTAGATTCGCAATGTCTTTCTTGTGGATATGAAAACAGCGTGCTATACGCGTACATGTACATATATAGACTACATGCTATTGCAGCAATGCAAACTGTTTCTTGTTAAAACAATAATTCATTTACGAATGACTGAGACATCCACATATTTATTTAGAAAATCAGTTATTCCTCATTTTTATTGCTAAATTTCAAGAAAGAAGCAAACTATTCGACGCACCCCCACCCGTCACACACATTTCAGTCATCAGAATTTGACATAAGTGAATACACTGTAGTTATATGTTCATAGTAAAAATTGGTTTATTAAATCGGTTGACATCATATTTTTCGGAATGACTCTGCTTATCCAGAAATTTGCTTTTCCGTTATATATTTTTCTTATGTTATTCAAGTGTTGTACAGTACAAGAGACCCACTGTATTTATTGGCTAAGTATCAACTTCTTTTACTTCATGCATATGGTAATGAAAAATTATTAGGCAACAAATTAGTCAATATTTAAGGGAAACAAGATGATATAAATTGCATTGTAAAATCTAGCAAACTGATATATGAACTGTGAAGTTGTTTATGACAACAATACTTCAAGAATTTTCATATAATTTGTGGTGATTAAAACTTCCGAGAGATCACACTTCCTCCAGATGCGATCGACAGTTGATCAGAACCTAAAAAACTCTTGCAGCCGGATTGTAAAAAAATAAATAGCACTCAAATGAATAATTTTTGATAAGTCAGTTTTCTTTGTCGACTTGAAAATATGTTCAATATGATAATGGGAATGGCAACATTCTATTCTGAATGTGCACTTTGTTTTTATATCTGTGTCTTATATTGTATTATCATTTTTTTTCTTTAATTCAGTTCAATTTAAAATTTGAACAAAAAACACTTCTGTATTCTGACTATTTTTTACTCTTTATTATTTTAATTCATTAGTTTGCTTATGTTAGTCAAATTTCATTTAATTGACATATCGTATGTGTTGGTACGAATACCTGTCACCTGCGACATACGCTTTATTCTTGAGAATATAAATATTTTCATTTTGTTGCAATGATTTACTTTCAGTCTTATTATCTAAAACACAGCCAAGATTTTTTGCAACGTCTATGATGAATAAATATGAATGATTTTTATATTCTAAAGGTTCTTAATATACATATATTGTTTACACTTAATCATCCAGTTTATTTGTCAACAATTTGATAGTATAAGGTAAAATATAAATGTATTCAGCAGATAAAGTACTTTAATTCCATGATGAGCCTTCGATAAGCAGACACAAAGCAGACACAAACATCCACACGTTTTTCCATGAATTTAGTATGCGTTTTTGAATACGATGCTTAATTATCTTGGTTCGAGTACAGAGTTGTTAAACCTATATTGATCGATGCTCTGGGCAACTACAATGTTTATTTTGCAGCTATGTATGGGTCGGATATAAGCAGTTTTGTGCACAGAAATAGGTAATAACACAAGAATACATTTGGCAACAAATGAAATTAAACACGTACATACATTTGACTGATTAAGAAATCTTCCTTGCTAAATCTTCTGTTGCTGATATTTTAAATAAGCCAGCACATGATCATGCAATGTTAAATGACTTATCTCACGATGAATTTTCTCATATTGGAAAAGATAATATAGATAAACCTTTCGATGAGAAGAGATGGGTGATTCCATTTCCGTGTTGTCTCGAACTTAGGCGCCTGACATAGATTTGGTAGTTTCAGATCGTTAATATTGATGCCAAGACATGTGTTATCTTTTTAGTACGAGTTTTGAGCAAAATATATAGTGAGGGCGTTAAACAAGGGGGCATTTTCGTCAGAAAATGGGAGATAAAATTGATCCCAATAATTATCGAAGATTTTCACCTACCATGTACCAGTACCATGGCTAAACTATTTTCTTATGTTATAGAAATCAATAAGATAAGTGGTGTGAAAAGTTTTTAAAGATAAGCTGTTCGGATTTTGTATTAACAGGAGCACAGTAGATTGTTTATATATTTGGCATAGCTTAACTCAAAAATTGATGTCACAAAATAAATCGCTTTATTGTGCCTTAATTACGAAAAAGCATTTGTTGCGATTATTCGAGATGCACTGTGGTACTTTTTATTTAAATTTGGTGTTAGCAGCAAAATGCTGAGTAAGTTGAAGGCTTTTTATTACAAAGTCTCAGCTTGTGTTAAGACGCATGCAATCTCATCTTATTTCTTTATGTTTAACTTGGATTATTCGCCCATACTTTTAATTATTGTTCGTGAATCATGTTAGCGTAAACGTTGATTAGATGCGCTGTCAGAAGCGCATTAGAATGATATTATCTGAATATATGCAATAAAATCTTTATCAGAGCACGCATTTAAAGCTGCAAACAGCCTATATTCAATCTTCTCAAGAATACAATTCTATGTTAAGACTAAACTGTTATTCTTGACAGAGAGGTAAAACCACTACTACTATATTGTGCTGATGGCTTTGGTAACTATAATACAGATGTTCTAGATAGAATTCAAATAAAGTTCTTGGTGTTAAACTTACACCAAATATGGATGTACTTGGAGAATTCGGAAGGTGTCCGAACTAAAAAAGTATTGTACAAGTTGAGTTGTATATACTAACTCCTTTTCCGCCTTTCGCTTTTGATAATGAAATGAGATGGTTGTATTCGGGCCATTAATACTTTTATTTTTAATTTTGGTCACTTGGCATAAAATTGCTAAATTGTTATTTTGTCCTTCTAGGAATATCTTTTAATTATTACATGTACAAATATCAATAAACAGTTTACATCTAAAGTGAATAATGTGTTTGTTATAAAATGGACGCTTATATTCTGGCATTCGAATTAATGTTTTATTATCATATTTTTCAAATCAATTTCGTCAATATATTTTAAGGAAAACATATTTTTTAAAATCCGGAATTAATTTCATTTAAGACAACGTCCGGTTTTGACCTATCAGGCTCAGTTCCAAAACGAACAAAATACGCTGCTATATCGGCATTAGCAATACGCTCATTTTTTGGCTGAAACGTGTAGAAAAACTGCTCGTCCTTTCGGATATTGCTGTGCCTCTGAGCAACAAAATTCAGAATGAATTCATCTTTTGAAAGAAATCTGTCCCCATTCAAGTCTATCACATCGCTCCATTTCGTTGCATACGCAAGAACCATCTCAATTAAAGCAGTTGTGTTAGATTCATACCTTTGTTTCATCATGTTTATGAAGTCGTCTTTGGAGATTTCTTTCTTGTTTGTAAAATAAAATGCCTTAAACAGTCTATCCATCTTTGTTTTGATCGCGTTCAATTTCATATCGCTCAGATCACCATGAGCTTTATAGTGTTCACTGTAATAAAGCATAATTATGATTAATAATCATCAAAAGAAAGTCCTGACATGACCCTGCTACACAGTCAAGAACCGACCAAGGGAACCAACCAACACTTAGGTATATGTATAGTCAACACTAATAACTAATATTTTTGTTTTGCTATGTTAAACAATTGTTTTATTGTTGTGTTATCCATATATTGTTAATGTCCAGTCTGATGCAGATTCATAATTGTTGGTGGTTAGTCAAAGTAAAAATAATAGTAGTTATATTTTAATATATATACATTGATTTAGTGCAAAGAAGATTTGCTAAAACATTTTAAGATATACAAATATGACGTTAACATAAAGTAAGAAAAATCATATATATGCTTTATTTCATAGGCTTTGTAAATATGCGAATGCGTCTTTAATTACTCATGCGTCTTAACAGTGTGCTTAATGAACTTTAAATCAATCTATTCATGCTACATACTGCAAAGTTTATTATGTTATTTTACAAAATACAATTTTCACTTACACAAACATTTTAGTTTCATCCATTGACAGTATTCCATTGTGGTTGATATCATCTAAATCAAACCATTTTCCCCACTTTTCAATAAGATATTCATTCGCCTGAAGAATATGATTTAAATGAATAGCCTTTAATTTACAATGTTTTAAATATATAAAGTCAAACAAAGATGACATCGAATTGAATTTTAGTAGCAATTATGTTTGCCCTTCGTTTTATTTTCGTTGTTGAATTTTTGTTTCAAATGACGTTGCAAGTCATTTTACAAGTTAAGAAATTAATATTGCACTAGTTTGCTGGTTGTTATGACACACAAGACTTACAATGACGTATGGCCACTTTTTACTAGTCAAGGAGGACTTCAGGTGTCTTAATCAAAGGAACGAGCAGGCACCTGAAAGAAGCTAGGTTTTCCGACGGGATTGGTATCACAGAAGTCAAGGTTAGCGTTCGAAGTCAACATGTTTTCATACACTTTTTAACACAAAACAATCAATCTGTCTGATTTAAATTAAAACATTTGACTCATGTTTTGAAAGTGCAAAAATGCCGTTACAGTTGCATAAGTTAATTTAAAACATATTCTGCGCCAGTAAACGTCAGCAATACCATCCTGTTGCAATATTCGTTTAATATTTTAGTGTTACAATTTAAAATACCAGTGTATAAATAATCATATATTTCTTTCAAATTACCTTGCTTGACTCTTGATCGACAGCAACAACACAATCTACAAAAGGGAATATTGAAGTGGAACATTAACAAAAATACTACATCATCTTATAAATTAAAATATATAATTTTGCTAAAAATAATTAAACGACGGTGAAAACAAGTTTCAACAGAAATTGAAAATACAAAATAATGCCTCAGTTAAAGAAAATTGTTATCATTACCTTAAAATGTGATGCAAATATTACAAAACGGATATTATGATACTTTAGCCATCTCTAATAAACAGACGGTAAAGAATAATTATGTTAAATTTAAAGAGATTTAACACCAATATAGATAAATAAATAAATAAATAAAGATGATAAAGGAACAAATAATGTGAACATCTCCAATATAAAGTAAATTAAAGAGTTAACGTTAATAAAACATATAAATATTTAAGATACAATTATTCAAACTCCTTCCTCAGTGACGTAAAAACCTCAAGGCATTGAACTGAACGATAACTAGCATAAATTTTATACTGTTATGATCACAATAAATTACCTTTGTAACTCAAAGCATATAACAAAAGAACCGTCCAAAACATCATCTTTTGCATGAATCGTTGCTCCGTCTTATACTTGTTAAACAATATTGTTGCCTGTTATATATACTGATCGTACAAGTACTACAACAACACATTCTTGCTTTTTAGTTTAAAGGCTCATTACGCATGTCGACCCGAGTATAGAAATGTCACATTTATTGCCCAAGATAATAAAACTAGTTTTAATAGAGGTTTTTTGAAAAGTTGATTCATGGTTTCTTTTTGATGTCTTGTTCATATGACTCTGTCGAAAATTGCAGGGGATATAATCCTTCAAACCCGTATGCCATTTTTAGAAAATCGCATTTGCAATATTGAACTGCAATGACTGTTTGATGGTATACCGCATACACATAACATTTTCTATACATTCACAAATCTGTAAGATATACATATCAATCAAATTTTATTAACGTACATACAATTATAAAGCTAAACTTTCAAATATGTATTTGAATTGTTCATCATTGATAAGAAAACACATACATAATGTTAATTCTAAAACCAAATGCATTAGATACTAGGGTTTAAGCAAACAAACATTCAGGTCATTTCTACATGCTTGTAGCGAGATACGGTGTTTGCAGTGAAACATTTGAAGCAAAATTGACTTGCAATATTAGGCATGAAACACAACAACAATTCAAGTATAAATTATCATTAAACTTTACTTAGTGTGTAAAATATTACATAACTTTGTAACTTTGTAACTCCAAACACAACATTTCATCTATCAAATGATATGTACTTCAAAATTTCAAAAGCATGTACTTAAGTTCATTTGTATTGATATGTTGTATATGAATGACTATGCTATTTGTGTAACTAGGATCTAAATTATAAACCGGTAGTTTTGCTTCAATATCAGAAATGAATCTTCTAGTTTGATTGTCCTCAGTATCTAACAATGTAAAATGAAATCTTAAAACATATCGAGAACAAAAATAAATCATTGTATATAATGGTACTAAAATATAATGTACGAGGTATGATCAAAACGTTCTCGGCCCGATATACTTCTAGCCACTACACTGACATTTACACACGATACGTCCATACCGATATCTTATTGAAGACTACTGACCGAAGTACACGCGGCTGTACAAAGTTTAAGTAACATAAAAAACAAGAATGAAGATCAACAAGGCAATGGCCACGTGCAAATGAATCATGCAAACCCCCGACACAACCAAGAAGGTCACCCAGGAGGCACCAAACCACAAAACAAAACACACTTTGATAAATAGAGGGGTGTGTCATTTAGACCAATTGGAGAAAGTTGAAATCAAAGCCGTCATTAAGTACCTCTGTAAGAAAGGAATGTCCCCCAAGAAAATCCATGAATACTTCATAGATACACTTGGAATTGAGAGGTCTGGGCAGTTCCAACACATATTAGTTATGATAATTCTAAAGGTTCTACTTACTACTAAGGCTATATACATGTAAAATGCACATCTTAACTGAAAATTAACACAAAAATCAAACAAGTAAAACATTTTGCTAAAATAGGGTTTAAGACTTATTAAATATTTCAATCAAATATGATATGTGTTTTAAGGTATCTCGAAATGGCAAACCTATGTTCTTATAATGTACCAATAATTTGTTTAGAGTGTAGAAAACAGAGATGAATCTAAAATAATGTGTCGTAATAGCAGCTAAACGTAAACCTAGTGGTATTTTGTCTTTCATACAAAAATACATAAAAAAACTATAACTCCCCAAAATTCAAATAAAACAACAAAAGGTTCAGCTTTATAACACGCACCGTTTCAAAACGTACAAAACTTAAAAATAAGAAGCTTTAGAGAAACAAACATGTTCGTTGCTAAATAAGAATTTGATGCGCTTTTACTTAATTAACTTTCTACTTTAATTTTCAGAATATATAAATATATCGAGGATGTCCGAAATGGTGACCATCCGATTACATATGTATCTATTCAATGCGTTTACTATATCTATAGAAACTGACTGACAGTCATGTAATGTACTATAGTCATCATGAAATAAATCATTAAAGGATCTTGAAATATTTGGTTGTGATAGTAATAGCAGCCATTACAGATTGTGTCATTATTACGTGGTACAAACTCAGAATGTGTGATTGGACAGAATTAAAGTTTGGTGTAAACAAGTGAGTTACGGATTTGTTGAATAGGAAATATACCGATTTAGAGCTCAATGAGACAAAAAATAAATGGTGTGGAAATCTCAATTTTGCCGAATTCAAAACGGGTTTCATATATCAAAAGGTATCTTACACGTGCTTCTGTCAATATAAAACTAATTTCTACGACAACATCTAATGGTATAATGTGTACCTTGACACCGCGTTTTCCTGCATTCTTATTGTCATAGTTATACTGTTGGCGCGGTATGACCAGTAACATGTCAATGTGGCGTTAACTACAAACACATCTGCTGTAATCAAAATAAATTTGAAGCATTCTCGATCTTTATTGATCAAATATATCGCGTTTTGGTTAAATGTTCTTGCCGCAATGTATTTCTTGTGTAAATGAAACAGATGTTAGATGCATAATGCAAATAACACAACGTTTTTTTTTTTGCAAAATATGTTATACATGTACATGTATAAGCAACATGTTATGCAGAAGAGCCGTTTCATGTTAGAGCAATAATTCATTTACGAAACATATTTTTCTGGAAATAAATGCCTCATCTTAAATGTAAGGTACTGAAATAGAATTTATTGTTTATAACCCAGTTGTTTTTTTCGACTAATCGACTAAAAATATTAAATATGATGCTGAAAATGACAATATGTAACTTTGAATGTACACTTTGTTTTTATATACGTGTATCATATTGTATTATCATATTGTCTTTTAGTCGGTTCAGTCCCAAAAAAAAAACAAAAAAAAAAACACTAATGTATTCTGACTACATTTTTATACTGTTTCATTTCTTATTTAATCCATTTATTTATGTTAGTCAATTGTCATTGATATTGATAATTCATATGTGTTTGTACGAATACGTGCCATCTTTGCGACACACACTTTATTCTTGTATCTATATTTTTTTCATTTTGTTACAATGACTTTTTGCTGTCTTATTATTTAAAACAAAGCCACATTTCTGGAACGTTTATGATTATGACCTAAACATATCAATGATTCTTATTACGAAGAAGTTTAATATATTGTTTACACTAACCACCCTGTTCATGTGTCAACAGTTTGATATTATTAGGTACAAATGCTTCTGTATTCAGCAAAAAAATAATTTTTATCCAGGACGAGTCTGCAATAAACAGCACAAAATCAAAATATGTTGCTCTATGAGGTTATCATACGTTCTTGAATACAATTCCTAATTATCTTAGTTGAGTACAGAGCTGTCAAACCTATATTGGACTATGTACTTGTTGAGTGCAATATTTATTTTGCAGCTGTTTTCGAGTCTGATATAAGGTGTATTGTGCACAGAAATATTAAATGACATCTTATGTCGCACAAGAACACTGTTGGCATTTTGACAGAATACAATAAGGACTAGGAAAAACAAGACTACAAAGAACACACGCGTAATTTGATATGGGTTTTTGACCTAAAAATAAGGACGAGTCTAAATGGACTACATAAAGAATTGATACGAAATTGTTTCGACATCGGACAAACGATAATGAATAAGATTGTATAACAATTCTTAATATAACAAGGCGGTCTTATATATATATTAAATTGATGTAATTATTTAACAAGATTGTAAATTACTAAGTCATAGAGACGTTTGAAAAGGCACTCATGCGTAATGCTCCATTACAACAAAAATATTTCAAAATATTTCTTTTTCAAATGCATCTTATTATTACACAGAAGACACAGTAGGTTATTATCAAAATGCGTTGAAGTTTCAGACACTTACATTAGTAATAGGTATAAACAAGAGCGGTCAGTGATCACATGTGCCGTCTCATGATAACCATTTGCATGTTGCCTGCTACTGTGTAGCATGAGATACAAGAATCATAAATAGGGCAACTCAAGGGCATAACTCAGCCGAAAATTATTTAATCGGGAAACTCATGTAACGTGCGCAAGAACTTGAGCTACCGATCAATTCTGCAAACATTCATTGGAAATGCTTTAATGATATAAGAAGAGTAGTCCAGCCAAATTAAAAAAAACAAAACAACGAAAAACATTAAAGCATAACTCTATAAAAATCATTTTATTTAACCAAATAAATGCGGGTACTATGCACATGACTTGGTATTGATCATTCAAGTAATGTTTGGATGAAACTGTCTCGTTATGTCTGAAAAATAGTCCGGACAAGTTCATTTGGAGCCGGCAACACAAAAAAGACCTTTTATTATTCAAGGGTCAACACTCAGCCAAAACAAAAACCGAAAACCCAGTGTGATATGCGCAAGTACTGGAGCTACAAATCAATCCTGTTAAGTTTTATTGAAATAATGCATTAGTGGTATAAGAGGAGTAGTCCAGACAGACTTTTAAGAATAAAAACCATTAAAGGGTCATTACTCTGACAAAAATCATTGAACCAACAAATACCGGCTACACCGACTTGGTACTGATCATTCCGGTACAGTTTGGGTGAAATTAGTTTTTTTTGGAGTAGCGGCGACACAAAAACTTCTCAATAATATGAAAAAAAAGATATCTATTTAAAGTAAGTTATGCAAACACAAGTGATAAAATTCTATAAATCCGGATACCATATTGACTACGCATGCATACTATATAGATCTTTTTGTTCTGCATGTAATTTATATTACTTAAGAATCAGTTTAAATATTATTGACTTTGTAAAATTGTGTTAGAAATCTTAAACAAATATCCTGAGATAAACATTCAAATTTTCCATTTAGTTCAATTTAATTATTCGAAAATGATAAATACATTTTGACTATAAGGGCTCATAAAGTTATTTTTAGCACATTTTGTCAAATTCGTCCAAACATCTCTCTTAAAGTACATGATACTCCTTTCAGATACAACGGTGATTTTAGACCGGCTACAAATAAACTCGTATCATCTGAATGGAAAGACAATGCCGTTTTTAATCAATTTTACGATATAAACCAATCTCTTGATGTGTCACCTTCTCTATCTCTGTCAAACCGCCATTATCGAACAGTTCTTCTTCGATGCCGAATTGGACACACTAAAATTACCCACACGTAACTCCTCACGAATGACAATGCCCCTTTCTGTGTAGCTTATAATAAAACTTTTACTGTCAAACATTTTCTTCTTGAATGTCATGATTTTCCACAGGCCCGTTATAAATTTTATTATGTAAATTTACTCAAAGAACTCTTTAATACAATTTCTTAAAAAAAAAACAAAAAAAAACATCCTTGATTATTTGAAAGAGGATCTAATCGGCTCATTTTCATTGTCATTTACAAAGTTTTACATAACAGTTTAAGCCTATTTTAGCATTCGGCACGATATGGCCAGTTATGTGTTGACGTACCGTAAAAATCCAAACAAACAAACAATAGCGGTTGTAAACGTGATTTAATTTAATTTTTACGCAATGTTGATTGCCAAAACTTGTTTTTGTATTTGCTTTTTTTCTGGCGTAGATAAATTTAGTAAGGTATTCTTATGGATTCACTTTTCATATACATGTATCTGGTTTGTTTTTTAATGACAGTGTGTGTGACTATGACGTTGGGTTATAAAGGATTTATTTAAGATAATATCTAATTAATTCAAAATATGATAATGCCTTATTATTGGTATGATTCGATTGAAATACACCTTTGTTTAATTTCAAAAGTGAAAATTGCAATCGTTTTTATACAAGAAGTTCCTCTATAATAATAGCTTTTTACTTTAGTCGAAAACCAGTTAAATTCTCAGATGTGTGTTTATGATGGTAAAGTTACCGTTAAATTTGACATATATTGGGAATTTTAGAAAAAAAGGCAACAAAAGGTCTCAAATGACCAGTCCAAGAAAAGTCCAAAAGTTTATTTGTAATTTATAAGGAGACGAGTTTAACGGAACCATCAGGTTAAACAACTGACATTTCTTTCTCCTGACCAATACCTGTATAGACACTTATAACCTAGTCACTATGATAAGTGATGCCTGAATGAAAATATATTAATTAACTTATCGAACAAATTTGTTCAATTTACATAATTCAACAAAAAATTCCTTAATGAACAGTTGGACTTAGAAGTAAAAAGCGTTTATGTCTGTTATAATTTCAATTGCCATAGTTATAACTTTATAAACCAAACCAAATTAGGACGTTATATGTTCTCCTAATACATAAGGAATGCCAAAGCATAAAATGAAAGTCTAATAATGATTTTATATTAAACACGATTTTAGGAGAGAAAAAAAAACAATTATTGGACACTCTAACTACTAATAAGGAGGTTAAATTATGACTTGAAGAATTTTGAATTAGAACACATACAGTCTAAATAACATTATATTACTCCTAAATACGATTAGAAAAATACTTTATTAAGAGAAATGATATCCTTGTCAGCGCTTAGTACTAAAACCAAGTGTAAGCATGACTCAATTTCACATCATTATGCTTTTTATAATTATATTAAGGTGAAACGAAGTCCTAAATTAATGATGATTTTATTTCTCAGAATAAGCCTTTTAGGCTTTTAACTACTCAAAACCAAGACTTAAGTTTTCTTATATGATTTGGCACAGGGACAGAAACAAACGTGCTTATCAGATTATTACGTATGAAAACAATTCCACCATTTTATCACGGAATGTAACAAATGGTTTACGTTTTATGTTCGTTCGAGAAAATTATAATATGTTTATGTAATATGATTGTGGCATTTGCGCCATTAAGTGTTTTGTTTCAACAAAAAATAATAATAAAGATCAACAAGGCAAAAGCAACGTTCACAGGACGCCGCCCCCGGACACACCCAAGTAGGGCACCCAGAAGGCACCAAACAAAACAAAAGTCTGATCATTTGACGAGATATTGCATGTCGGTCATTTTATACCACTAAAATATCTTCCCTTCTTTCTAAGATAAAGGACTAAACAAAGAGTTTGAATCTAATTTACATATTTAATGTTTTTTTTATATAACAAGATTAGCCGATATATTGATATGCGAAAAAAAAAACATTTATTAACTCTTTCTTTTCAAAACCAAATTTCATCAAATGTTTTCAAAACAATTATTATTCAAACTCCGATAAGTATTCCATTTAAGAAAATGTCCGGTTTTGAGCTGTCGGGTTCAGTTGCAAAGATAACACAAGACTCGATGAGATCGTCAACGGGAAAACGATCATTAACAGGATTATACATGTAGAAAAATTGCTCGTCTATTTGGGTACTGTTGTGCGTTCCAGCAACAAAGTCCATAATGAATTCATTTTTTGAAAGAAATGTGTCTTCATCCAAGTCTAACAATTTGCACCAATCCGTTGAAAACGCACGAACCAGCTCAATACATGCAGTTATGTTTGATTCATACCTTTGTTTCATCATGTTTATAAAGTCATCTTTGGAGAGTTCTTTCTTGTTTGTGAAATAGAAGACCTTCCATAGTCTATCCATTTCTTTTATGATCTTGTTTTTTTGCTTATCAGTCAGATCATCACGAGCTTTATAATGTTCCCTGCAATAAATGTTAATGATATTATGAATTGATCAGACGCGGTGACTAAATTGCTTGTAATTACTAGTTTAAATCGAGAAATTCCTTTAAACTAAGTTATTTTTTTCAATTTATTAAGTTAGATTCGAGCATTATGTATTTTGAAATCTTCAATTCATAAAATTTGAAATTGTGAATACGAGATAAATCATGACCACCGGTATTTTGCAATATTCTATTCCATATGCTTAATTAATCTTTTAAAGTGGCAGAGCCTTTGTCTCAAGTTATGTATTCATCGGTTTTTGTGAGAGCTAGAGTAATTAATTGATTCTAGATTGTCCATATTGATATTCTAATTAAGTTTCAGTAATACATGTTCACTTACAGAAATGCTTTGGGGTCTTCAAATGAAAGAATTCCATCATGATTGAAATCATCAAAATCAAAGAATTTTCCCCACTTGTCAATTAGGTACCCGTTCGCCTGAAGAAAAAAAAATTTTCATTATAAGGTGGGATAAGAGACTGATTTTACAATATTTATCACCATATTTCTATATCGTGACTCACGCAGTATTGACTAATGGTATTCTTTTATGGTAATTAACTTGGATTGTTTGGTCAGTTTTGTAAATTACTTTCCTTGTCCACTTATATGCGATATTTTACAATACTATATTTAATATCTATAAATATTTATGTAAATTTCAACCTGTCAAAAATCTTGAAACAAAGTGTTTTGTGTTTGTGTTAGGCACTCGATTTTGTTTACACGTGTGTATTCAATTACGATTAATATTCTCATGGACATTTTTACAATATACACAAACCACATGGATTTCAACTCAATATGTTCTTAAGGTATGACCCACCTAATGCATTACCTCCACTTTGAAGAGTACTCAAATATACTAGAACTGAAGAGGCAACTTTTTTTCTTTGAACATTATTTGACGTGTCTCTCAGATCACTCTTGATAAGAAAAAAGTGTTTCATTTTAATTATAAAATTATTATTGGTATCTTTTGGCTAAATTGTGCCAAATCTATTATCAAAATGGTACCTGATATATTCAAAGTCTAATAAAATAAAAATTAGACGGTAAAAGTATTTTATATTTGACAAGCGCATCCAATATACTTTAAAGACAATTTATGCAAACTTTGAAAACAGCCCCTGATTTGAGTAAATTTTAGGGATATTTTGAATAAGGCCCACCAAGTAGAAAATTGATCAAACAACTACTTAACATGGGTGGGGTAGGGTAACATTTATATACATATTTCAAACATTTTGAGTAGAAACAATAATTTGTTAGCTGAATGCTATTATTTGTTTCTTAAATATTTTCTATAGGAAAACATTATTTCATAATTATTATATAATAGGATAATAAGAGTTTCTCATTTCTGAAAAAAGAGTCCTTCTAATAGCCAGGTTTTACTTTAGAAAAATCTTCATAACTCGTAAACCATACGGTAAACTTTGTTTAAATTTTGCATTATTGTGTCTTTTAAGGTAAACTGACCTATGTTGTCAATTTTATAGTTCCTTATAGTGCCCATTAGGGGGCTCATACCTTAAAAGAAAGTTTTACATTTTAAAATCAAAAAGAGACTTATTTGTTGGCTGTCAATCATACAGTACTTAACTTATTGTATTAACACTTTCCAGTTTTGCCAGAGGAGGAAGAATTAAATCACCGACTTTCCGTTAGCTTGCTTGATAGATTCCGCATATGAGAAAGCCTACGGTTTATGGCGGAATAATATCCAACAGAATGAAGGTTGAGTGTTCTTTATGCGCTGTACGTCATAGATTACCCTTTCAAAAACAGATGTCGACTAGGACACAATAGAGTAATTAGTTCTAATATTTTACAGGCGATAATGCTCCATTTTGAATAGGTTGCAAGGAGTATCTTAGTGTCAATCATTTCCCCTTTGAATGACATGATCTTGCACCTTCGTCCTTGATATAACTGGTATGACATTGATTCATAACATTGTGACTAAATTCCTTCCAGAACATTGAATAATTAAGAAATGTATTCTTTGATAAGTTTAATAGTTAAGTGTCACAATATCAAATGTGGCATTTTATGGTATAAATTATATTTAAAGCAGTGATAGTGCATATAAATATATTTTGTTCAGGTATATATTTGTTTCTATTTACCTTATTTGATTCTTGCTCGATAGCCACAGCACAAGCTACAAAAAAGAAATAAAGTAAAACGACATCTTATACACTAAGCACTTCGTATAACATATCTCAAATTGTCATATTACAGATGATTAACTTTTATTTTTTTTAGTTAAAACTTCCTTTAACGTTCTATATTAGAACTAAGACGCTTAGTGCAATATTTGAAGACTACTTTCAAAATGTTTATCTATTATGTTTATTTGTTTTATATTATTTATACAATCGTGTTTTTATATATGTTCCTTGTAGAGTCAATCGAAAATAAACTATTGATAAAACACAAATGCATTCTCCTGATATTTCTTAAGCATCTTTTTTGGTCATCAAGCCGTAAAATAAGCCTAAATTTCTGAATCGTACACCATGTGGATTTTGCCGAATCGGGTAATATTAAGCATTGATAGTACAATTCCCGAGCAATTGTGTATGAAAGACGTGTGAATATCCAATATACCTGGAGAAAATAAATAAAGTATAACATACTGTGATAATAAATAAACCACAGACGCACATGCACGTGGGCGCACATACAAAAAATCATACACAAGTAAAAAAGACTTAAATTTTTGCCAGTCATTTAGATATTCGAAGCAAATCAAAACAAGCGCCAGTTTGAAACGGGTGATGCTTTCGAACAGGTTTTTGCCACAGAAAGGTACGCCTCTTGTTGTTTCAGAATTTTGTCCTAGACAAAGTTCATAGTGCAATAGTTCCAAAATCAAACAAGGCAGAATTACTGTTCATTGAACTGCACTTCTACTCAATCTATCTACCGCCTCAGTTTCTTGTTGATACCTCTTGTAGTTTCACAGTGATGTCCCAGACAAAGTTCACAGTGTAAATAGAAAATAGCAATAACTCCAAAATAAGGCAATACAGAGTTGCGGTTCTTTTAACTGCATGTCTACGAAATGAGCAATATTGAACTACAAAGGTATATATTAATAGCCAATACTGTAAGATATTGTTCTCTTAAAGCAAAGTTTAAAAAAAGAAGAACAAAGGGCAATAATTCTAAAATTAAGGTGAGAAGAGTTATGACTTTTTAGCATTTCACTTTTATTAAATGATATCTATCTTCCCTCAAAGTTTCTTGTTGATACCTTACATTGTTTCAGTTGATACCTCTCATGGTTTCAGATATATGTCTTGCACAAAAGTCAGAATGAATACTTGAACAAAGGGCATTAAGTCATACATCAGGAAAGGCAGAGTTATGGTTCTTTTGCACCGCACTCCTACCCGATGAGATCTTACTACCTACAAAGTTCATGTTGTTATTTCTTATAGTAAGATAGAGAAAAAAAGAATCCCTAAAGAAAGCGAAACACTGCAAAATTGAAAATGTTGCAGGCTCGGTTTGATTGAGCCTGTTCATGAACGGTACTGTAAAATGCAAACTACCGTCCACGCCCCCTAGCACCGGCTTAAGCAGAATTCAACATACAAACATGAAATGGTAACATTTTAATTTAGAAACTTCCGCAGATGTGTTCATACGGCGGTTATCATGGAACCTTCAATGTGACACTACCGTGCCTTTCCATTAAAGGGGCGTATGGTCCCCAATTAATAAAAGGCGCGTGCCCTAAACGAGAAAACAATGGGCGGAACTAAATAAAATGGAATTTTTAAAGGGGAACAGAGGTTATGAAGCCTACATATCACAGATAAGACGTCAACAGACAAGTTAAAAAGCAGGCAACATATCCTAAGGGTGATTCAGCCTTATTCAAGTAGGACTATTGGAACCACCCAACTAGAAAATGCCGAAAAATTACAACGAAAAATACCACGACCATTAAGGATCAGAAATATAACATCTCTGATTGAATGTACGGGGCGACTTTTTCAGCCTCCACACGGCACAGACAACGCTGATGTGGCGATAAAAAAGAGAAAGTAAGACTCCCCAAAGAAAGCCCCCAGCACGGCAAAATTGAAAATGTTGCAGGTTCGGTTTGATTGAGCCTGTTCATGGACGGTAAGAGTTATGTCCCGGACAAAGTTCAAAGCGTAAACATCAAAAAGGACAATAACTCAAAAATTAGGCAAGGCAGAGCTATGTCCCGGACATAGTTCAAAGTGAAACAAGGGTTTTCAGGTTATGCTCCGGACAATATGTTTCTAAAAAGGGAGATTATTCAAAATGTGGCAAATAGAGTTACGGTAATTTGACACTACACTCCGCCTAAATGTCGTTAACCACGTAGTGCAGTTTAAACAAATCATGTTCAAGGGTCCAAAATATTTTCCGGACAAAACGGACGAACAGATGGATAGACGGACAATGCGGCGACTATATGCGTTCCCTACGGGGAGCATAAGATTAAAAAGGCTATGGTTTTCTTTAATATACAATTTGCAAATGAAATATGTAAATCGTTGAAAAAACCTCTCTATCTTTAATACAAATAGTACAACTACAGACAAAATGCTTTAGTAAATATGACCAAAAAAAACAAAACAATAGAACAAATAAAAATTCATGCTAAAGAAAAAAGGACCGTCGTTATATCCTTATAAAAAAGCAAAAAACGACCCATGCGAAGTTTAAAAATGAAATATATCTAATAAATAAAAAAGAAAAAATGTAATATCTTGCTGAACAGAAAGCAAGACATGCGATTAAAATGACATATGCAGTCATGCTAAAGAAGAAAATACTGTAATTATTAATTATTTTCGATAAAGAAATAGCTTATTAAAAATCATTCTAAAGTAAGATAGAAATTGGTTATCTCTAATACGCAGAAGGCAAATAAAGAAAACAGTCTTTAGTTAAAAGACTGTGATTATCTCATAAATACTTTAAGAAAATAAAGTGTATTGGTAAATTTAAAAGATAGAAATCATATATTATACATAGAAAGCCCAATCAAATTAATTAATGTCATGGACGATACTATAATCTTCTATACATTAAAAAGATTGTGATCCTCTCAAATGCACGGAAAGGAAATACACAATCATGCTTAAATGGAAAATGTGTGTAAGAAAGAGCGTTGCTCTCTTCAACAAACAGTTAATACAATATAAACAAAAACAAGTAAATCAAGAGAAGGTGGAAACACACGTCAAACACAAGAATGTTTCTTAGAACTGGTTTATTCAAGAATCTACCGCTTTCTGTCTTTTAAGACCTTCATCAGGATATTTTTCAATGATATATGATTACTGAATATCAAAATGTTAATCGTAAATAAAATATTTGAATGCTCAAGATATAACAATTCGAATTTCCTGTTGAATTGCAAAGTATCTTTTAATCAATTAATTGAAATATGTTGCAAGTATGTATTAAAAAATGATTGCTTTACCTTTTAGACTCAACGCAACTAACAATGTAAGCGTCCAAATAACCATTTTCTGCATGTATTTTTGTTCTTCGTTAATATCAGTAAATTATTATAGCAGTCCGTTAAATATACTGATCATACAAGTTCTACAACAACAACCACTCGTTTTTTACTTTATAGGCCCGTAACGTTCTCAGAATAAATAGTTAATAGACGTTAATTATTGCACAATACACATTTCAATAAATCGATACTCCAGATTTTAATACTTCACAACAGCATGTGTCAAGTGTTGTGTGGCAGCTGCAAAAAGTTGCCCCGTACTTCACTTCAGTGTTCTAATATTTTCTTCTAGACCTTCGTAATTATTGATGCCAGCACCATTAAGTGTTGACAATTGAGTGCCGCTCAAGCTATTGCAAGGCGGCGTGAGGTATATTGCACTTATTCAGTATCCCTCATTTACAAACTCAATCAAACTGAGACTGCAATTTTCATTTAATTTGGTTGTGATAAATGTTTCCGAGGAATCACTTTGTTTCCAGATTATTTTTCAGTGTAGTGGTTTGGTTCATCTTCTAGCGTTAGTATTTTCGTTCAAACTGCCTTGTTCTATTGAATGAAGGAAAAAGCCAAAACGATAAATAAAAAAGTGAATACATGAATGGAAAAAATATGACGTACGTATTGTACCCACTTAACAAATAAATGATCATGCTGTCTGTAGCCATTGCAGGAAAAGGTAATTACATAACCAAATATGTACACTATTAGATATTATTTCATCGTATTGACTTACAATTTATATGGTGACACGACAACACGACGCTGTGAGAGAGAATATAAAATGTGAGGATATTAAGATTAGACATTTATTAAGGTAGATCTTTAAATATTGAGAGCTCTTTAAAACTGCACAGCTGTAAAGGCTGGTCAGCCTCTACAATTGAAGCCATACCATTAGTCACCGGACTATTGTCTCAAAAACAAATTTTGTATTTGAAATTAAAAATGAGATAAATTGATTCACAACATATATAGGATGAAAAATTACTGTAGTCAAAAATAATGTTAGCTAATAAAATGCAAACAAAACGGTTTTGATCACATAACATGAACTCATCATATCAGGAATTTTTTAAAAGTTTTTGCTATCAAAAATCTTGATGATCAATTGTTATTTTTTTGTATATTTGTCAAATTTAAATTACGGAATGTCCAAGACTTTCAGGATAAAACATTATAATGTTTCTTTATTAAAATACAATAAGTGAGGAGACAATTTTTGTTTAAAGTTAAAATTGAGATTTAATCTGCTACATGAATTTACACAAAAATTGGCAACAATTTCCAATTATTCCTTTGTATTTAAACTTATCAATTATCTTACTTCAGAAATATTATATATAATATATATTTGAATAATTTACTGATAATGAGAAATAATAACAATCTCTATTTTTATGTCCATTGACAAGTTTATAACAGTGACTACATTTTTAAGTATCTAAACTTTCAAAGCAAATTAATAATAAGCATGTGCTTTCTTGAAATTAGTAAGGTATATTTCAGAAAAAAAATACATGTATATGTAAATTGTATTGTGTTTTAATGAAAAATACTCTTAATAGTGAATATGAGACGTTGAACTTTGTTTTTCTTCCGTTCAGAAACTGTCACATGTTTTCTTTTACTCAATGACATGATTAGGAGAGTTAATCTAACACAAGAAAGGAAACTCGGGGTAAAACCTTGAGCATTCTTAACCATATATTAAAGGATAATTCAATAAGGCGAATCATAGTTGTTTACTAGACTGATCATATGTACTTTGTAGGCTTTTGTAAGTTACCAGATTATTTTAGATTATTTACGAGCTTTATTCAATTGTAACGTCAATTAAAATCCGGCATGATTGAATCATCCCCGAAACTATGAAGTTATATGATGAATAAAATAAGCCAAAACTTTTTATGAATTTTATTATTGACAACGTAACATTTCTTATGACGGCGGCCAGCATCATCACAATAAATTGTTTAAATATTGTTTGACTTAATTAGCTATCTAAGACCAAAAAATATACGCTTAATTTGCTCCTAAACGATTCAAACATATTTTGCGAAAAACTTAGCACTTAAACTTAAGCTTAAAATATATTAACATAAGGTCATTTTTACAAATTTTCTGACTCTCAACACCTTTAAACAAGTACATTTATTGGCATATACTATGTCTAATTTAAGGTTAATAAACTGTTGCGCAATGTTGTTCTGTTGAAATGACATAGATTCAGTTTTCATTTCAGGTACTTGTTTAATATATAATTGTCTGCAAATTTTAATCATATTGTCACAGAAAAAGTTCTACAGAATTTAAATAACTCTGCTTGACGATACCTATCCTTATTATAGTTTTGCCAAATTATGAGTTATGGTGAATTTTTACCGTTTCATGAATATTTAATAAATAATTTTACATAGTTACACACATTGCTCAAATATGACTTTTGTATACTGTACACCATAACTTTTTCACTGCAAATAGTGTTTTGTTCAGGAATCTTTATCAGAGCAGGCAGTAAAAGCTGTAAACAGCATTTATTCATTCTTCTCCAGAATAAAGTTTGATGTAAAGACTAAACTGTTGTCTATTGACAGAATGGTGGAACCAATACTACTTTATTGTGCTATATTGTGCTGAAGATTTTGGTATTTACAATACAGATGTTCTAGATAGAATTCAAATAAAGTTCTTGGTGTAAATATTTCTACACCAAATATGGGTGTACTTGGAGAATTGGGAAGATGTCCGATATATATCTTATGTAAAGAGATTCAACCCTTGAATGAAAATAAACATAAATAAAAGTTTGCTTATTTATAATATTTTTCAAATGCAATATCAAGAAACATACACCCATAATTGCATATGTTAGCCAAAGCATGTTAAATCTCTTCTTGATACTCTTTTGATACTCTTTTTGGTACGGCTGTGCTTAATATTGTAAAGTTCGTTGATTCCGTTGAAGGGAAAAACCGGAAACGTTTTAACCAATGTTTTTGTTTAATTTCAAGATCGTTTTAAATGCAAACGATCAATATATAATTTTAGTAAATGTAAAAAGTTAAAAAGAGCCTCTGATATGTCATTTGTTATATATAAGATTGATTAAAGTTAATATCGATATACTTAAACTAGTGCAAACAACTAAGGTAATAGATAAGTGGAATAAAACTGTGAAATCTTCTGAACAGCTTTTTCACTATAATTTTTGTCATAAAAGAATAATGTTAGACTCATGAAGTTGTTGTTTACTTTCTTCTTAATTATATTGAGCCTAAAGCAAAATGACACTTTTCCGATTATGTACGTCCATAAATGTCGTAAACACCGTTAAATATCGCTAATGTCTTGCAATTTTCCATATCCCTTCAAATGTTGCAACACTCTTTAGTGGTATTATATAATTACAATAATCCTCAGGTAATTGTTTGCACACATGCATAGATATATTTAATAACATTTGCAGTTACATGTCCCCATTCAGCTGTCGACTCTGTCGACTCAAGACGTAATATGCTTTTTAATGCCCCTTTGTGTTTGCAATGAAGATTAAAGCCTTTGATAAGATTATAACATGCAATTATCGTACTTATATAATACTAATACATTAATTAAGTTGCTCTGCGGTCTTATGTAAATTTTATAGCTATAGTGTCCATCTCCAATTCTATCTGACTGCCTATTTTGTATTGTACTGTAAATAGCGTTCTTTTATCTGAATATTAACATGATTAGTTTAACAGAAATTACATCTTTGGCTTTACTTATCTGCAAAATGTCCATTAATTTCAACTACCAGACATTGAATACAGGATTTAATTGAATGTACTAAATTCCCTTTCAAGTGGATCACCAATACATGCTCTTTTTGTATTTTATACGATAAAGCTTTCGTAAACATGATATCAGAACTAACAGGCTTGGGAAAGTGCGATTGACTCCGGTTGTATGGCAAATGACTGGTCTAAATGCGCAACAATTTCCTATTGCACCAAATGTTGCGATTTTAACAAGAGCCACCGACAGTTGCGGTCAACGTTCGACTGTTTACTTTGTCAAGAAGCAAACAAATCTTTAAAGAGAAAATTATGGAAACAATGGTCTTCCTTGTCTTAAAATAACGATAGGTAGGTTTAGTCACACTTGTTTTGTCTAAGTATGAATAATTACCATTGTGTTCAATGATCAACTATACTCATGGTCTGCCTTATCATTTTATACACCTTAGACTGCTTCGAAAAAAATGTACTTTCTATCAATTGCATAGTTATGTGTACGCAGTATCTGGATTTTTTTAGAGTGTACGCAATATCATAATCTCTGTTTTCTGTAAATAGTGCGTTTAAATACTTTTTTAGTACAAATGAATTGGAACGAAGGTTGAAAATATATTTTTGAAAAGGACAACAGAATAACGTCCAGCCGTTTAAAACGGCCAGTTTAATCGATACTTGCTCATTTTCAGTAACATTTCAACGCCGGGTGTACGAACTATCCAGAATCAAAATCGCATTCAACGCGAAATACTGACAAAACAGGAAAGAGTTACTTCAAGACATTTTGTATATAAAAACTAGAAGTTAGGACATCTTCTTTGCAAAACAAATTAAGTTCATACCTTTTCTGATTTCTTCAGACCACTCGTTTTTCTTCAAAATACCGGCCGATGAAGTGTTTGCGGTATCAGAACTTTAAGGATGCGCGCGCATGGATTAACCTCCTTGAATTATAACCGGTTAATATTGCGAATGATACAATTTTCGGTTTTATAAAAACAGATATAAATGTTCGTGTTTTGTGTCTGTTTTCATCTCATTCTTACACATTTAAAGGTTCAAGAAACGTATTTTCTGATTTTATTATTCTTGATCTAATTCCGACAAAATTAAATATTGTAAAAGTTTTATGCACTGAAATTGCTTTTTGCTGTGATATTGAAATGATATAATGGATGCATTCGGGTCATTAAGACATTTATATTTGATTTTGGTCACTTGGCGCAAAATTGTTATCTGCTATTAAGTAAGTCTAGTAATATCTTTTTATTATTACAAATATAAAATAAACAGTTCACATATAATGTGAATAATGTATTTGTTATATGTGAACGCGTATATATTGGTATGCGAATAAATGTTTTATTATCACTTTTTTCAAGTAAATTTTCTCAATTTTCTGATTATACTCCGTGCCTCTAGCATTGTTATTGAATGTTTCGTTCTAGTCTGCCGTACTTCTGTGATGTCTAGTAAAACGATAACTTCGTTCTTTAAGAGGGCGTCTGTGACTGACAGCGGGCTGCCCGTACCAGAGACCATTTTCGATACTTTCTCCGCAGATATATATCCATGTGTACGCATTTTCGGATAGTGTTCATTTTCGGACAAGTGTATAGACAAAGTGAACTATTCGCGAGAAATGTGAATTCGCGTCTAAGAAAACTCGCGAATATTAACGAAAATAAATTTTTTGCAAATAATAAGTGTTTTACAGTATTTTAAGGAAAAATTCATTTTTAAAAGCCGGAATTAATTGCATTTCAGACAACATCCGGTTTTGACCTATCGGGTTCAGTTCCAAAACGAACAAAATACGCTGCAATATCATTAGCAACAGGCTCATTTATTGGTTGAAACGTGTAGAAAACTACTGCTCGTCCTTTCGGATATTGTTATACGTCTGAGCACAGTAAGTTCAGAATG